AAAATGCTGCCATCTTGTTTGAGAAATAAGAGATTTCACATGACTAAACCATGTGGTTCTCATCCATTGTGAAGAGACTTAGGGAGTCCAAGACTGTACAAAAAAGCACTTTCCTCATTTTTTTAGTCTTATAAAAAGAAACCCTTTGAGGAAGAAGATACTGTTTTATAAATTTCCTTCCTTCATTCTGTTCCATGTCTTTGAGAACCTACTGCTTCACTTGAAAGGCACCAAGATTCAGCCACCTAGGCTCAGTTTGGGATCCTAAGGTCACTTGTAGGGCAAATTCTGTCTCCTTGTCCCCCTCACCTACTGCTGGTACAAGCCTGACATCTATGCTTACTCCCTCCACTTGACAACACTTTACCGTCCTCAAACCCTGGTGGCCAAAGTGTCTCTAGATTCTAGCAGGAAGAAATGCAACTTTCGAATGTGTCTCTGAGTCAATTCCTGGGCCAGGTACCCCCAGATACCCCAGATCTCTGCAAATCCTCACAGTCTTATATGAAGTTCAACACTTGAGGTGTCTGTGTAGCCCATCATAGCCCTTTCCTCTATCATTGGTCTCAGAAGTCCCTGAGGCCCTGCTCCCCTGGTTCCCGTGGCACCTGAGCCAAGTTGGCCAATCACATTCTCTGTCCTGAGAACTTGGACTTGAGCCAGGCAGCACCTGTTGGTGCTGAGATAACTGTGGTTGTGTGCCCAGAGAAGCAGAGTCCCCACCTGGCGAGAGGCAAGGAGGGAGGGGGAGAGAGAGAGAGAGGTTGAATTAGGACTGAAACATCAAGAGACCTATGGCCCAGAATGATGGAGAGACAAGCCCAGTGCCTGATGATTTTCTAGTTGCAGCCTACAAATCATCTGAAGATTTCCTTTCATTTCTTGCTCTTGGCTACCACGATCTACCTCCTAATTTAATAAAATAACATCCCTTACCCTTTTAAAAAATGTATTGTGATTTTGTTTTTGCCACTTACATCTAAAAGTGTTGGTAAAACTTGTAGCTTTTAGGCTAGCCCAGATTCACACAGCGAGTCTGTGGCAGAGGCTGGAAACAAGAGCCAACAGGTATGGAGTGTTTTCTTTGTACTAGGCACTTTCTAAAAGCTTAGCATGTGTTATTTCATCCCCAGGAGGGCACCAGAAGTGAGATACTATCGTTGGCACCATTTGAAGGATGAACAAATGGAGGCAAGGAGAGGTTGGGTTGTCTGCATGAGATCATGAAGCAGGGGAGTCAGAGACATAGCCCGGGACCTAAAAAATTTTGTCATACAGGTATTAGTGGCCGGGCTGGTGCTGGGGACAGCAGGCTGGACCTTGAAGGAGCAAAGTTTCTAGAATTTGGTAAATGCAGGTGTGTTGAGCAGAACCATAACACTCAAAGATAAAGGTCCCAACTGGACAATGTTGCTACCTAACACAACCATCAATCCTTTAGCAGCTCTGACTGGTCATTCTGCTTTTTTTAAAATTTATTTTTATTCATTTATGCATACAAGAACTGGGGTACAGGCCAGAGGTATGGGGGGTGAGAGGATTCACCAGAGACAGAGTGGGGAGCAGAACAGGTGGACCTACTGAAATACACTGCTGAGAGGAGCAGCGGGCAAGACAGGAGAGGTCTGCTGTGCCATGTGGGTCAGCTCCCTGGCCGGGGATCAAAAATTCAGGCCGCAGTAGCTGGGGATAGCTTGATGGCATTGAGACTTTAACCCCTGCGCCACTAGGCAGGCCCTCATTCCGCTCTTGTGATATCATGGCACCTGTCCCATTGTTGAGCAGGTCTGGTCTTGCCTGTTGGGCTCACTTTGGTTCTTCTCGTCCATCCTCCTCCCAAGACCCTGCTTATGGTGAGTCTACCCCGAGTTAACCTGAACAGGAATAAATCACATTTGCTCCTGGGGCTTGGGAAATGTGTGCACATTCATTCAGAAACTGAATTTGTCAGGAAGACACCAAGCTCTGCCTTTGTCCCCACAGCATACCTTCCACGACACAGCTGGGACAGAGAGAAGGGACAGACCTTTCAGGGCAGGGACCACTGTGAAGGACAGGGCTCTTCACCGTGGTGTTGAATTCACTCTGGGCTCTTTGTCTGAATGGGCGGACACAGAAAGACCCAGTTCCTGTGGCCCATGGGTAGCAGAGAAGCAGAAGGGACTGGCAGTGATTACAGAGAGAGAAGTCTGAGAAAGACCGATGGGGATTTTCTAGACCAGAAGTCACTGGAAACAGGCTGCAGATCGTTTCAGGTTGGGGTTACTGACCCTTTTGAGAAACTAGTAAGAGTCAGAGATTTTCTCTCCCCAAATGCAGCTATAGACATAACTTTGCTTACGATGTGAAATTACTTAGTTCATGGGTCCTCAAACCTCTCCAAAGATCCTGTTTAAAAATCCTGATCTAGAGAGACCTGCCATCTGATTAAGACCAGGAGAGAAAGGATGCTTCTATCCAGCATCCCAGCAGGTGTTATTCTTCCTGGAATCTTCCATGACCCCCAAGGTGGGTTGGGTGCTTTCTCTTTCTCCCACATCTGGGCATTTCAAAGCTGGTACTATATAGTAATGGTTTTAAAAGTGTGGTCCTTGGACTATCAGCATTATCATTAGAAATGCAAATTATGGGGCCTCCCTAGTGGCACAAGGGATTAAGTCTCAGCACTATGAAGGTATTGGCATCTACTGCAACATGAGTTTGATCCCCTGCCAGGGAGCCAACCCACATGGCAAAGCAGACCTCTCCTGTATAGCCCGGTTGCTCCCCTCAGCAGTGTATTTCAGTAGATTTGCCTGTTCTGTTCCCCGCTCTGTCTCTGGTGAATCCTCTCATCCCCCGACACCTCTGGCCTGTACCTCAGTTCTTCTACGTAAAAATAAATAAAATCCTAAAAAAAAGAAAGGTAAATTCTTAGTCCCTACCTCTGAATAAGAATCGCTTGGGGTGGAGGGAGGCAACAGTCTGTGCTGGGACTGGCCTTCCCTGCGCTTGAAATCATGGGAACTATGAGTTCCAATATTATTTGGGTTCAGTTTCTTTCTACTCTAGGGCCTGAAGTCAAGCAGAGGAGGGGGCTTGGCAGGTGCTCAGCAAGCTTCATAGAGGGATGGAATCAGCAACATCAAACCAGGGGCATTTCTCTTGGCAACACGGCTTCAGTCACCTGGTGGACAAGCGGCTGGTGGACAGGGGGCACGTCTGCCGGGGCTCATGGGAACCCAACACTGCCCAACTATGCTGGGTGCTTGCCCTACATCAACCTTGGCAGAGGCTACCAAATCCCTACCAGAGACACACTTGCCAGGCTGGCATGGAGGGAAATGGCCACTTTTTATTTCCAATGATTCCCCAATTTTTTGTGGGAGGGGCAATGATCAGAAGATTTCTCTTAGCCTCTTGTGATTGGTGGACGGAAGACTGCTTTTTCATCTCATGCTGCCTATGTAGGGGCTACATTTCTAAATTTTTATTCTTCAGGGAGAGAAAGTGTCTTGTTACAGTCCTTTAGTTTCCTGACATTTAAAAAAGAATAACTTTTCCGGAGGGGGAGTACAGGGGAAAAATTTTTGTCACAACTTCTTGTCTCATTGATCTAGCTCTTTAAATATTAAAAAAGTTTTCATTTTTTTTTTCAAGGTGGGGACAGAGAAGAGATACCTAATTGCCCTCAATTTCCAATGCTTTTATTTTTAAAAAGTATTCTTACTTTTTTTTTTCCTGAGGAGGGGTAAAGAAAGATTTCTCTCATCTCACATATAAGCAATTCTTAAAATTTTTATTCTAAAAATCAATTGTTGGAGATGGAACATGCATCCAGTAACCCCTCCTGTCTCTTGATGGGAAAGGTTCTGCATAGTTCAATTAAAAAAAAAACTTTTGCTATTTGGGAAGGGTGAGGACAGAAACAAAATCCCTTTTAAACCTTCCCAAGTCACAGGAGACAGTTCCTCAAATTCAGAAAAGAAAAAGAAAAAAATCTGATATTTTGAAGGGTGTTGGATAGAAATATTCCCGCTCACTGTTTCACACAGAAACAGTCTCAAAATTTTCTTTTTAGAAACAACCTGACTGGGGGACATGGGAAGGGGCTGTGCCCCCCCTTAACCTTTAAACTCTCTTGTGTCACTTAAGGCCAGTTCTTCAAACTTTCATTTCAAAAAATATCCTCTTTTTAATTGACAGAGGAAGCCAAACTATTCTCTTCTCGCATTCCACCTAACATAGCTCCTCAAATATTTATTTTTAAAATCAGTCTGATGGGGGGGGGGCTAGAAAGAGGCCCCCCCTGGTCTGACATAAAACTTCTGTGCCTCAATTGCATGGGAATATCTGGAGGGGGTGGCAGGGGCCACAGGCTTCGCTCCACCGCGCCTTCCGACTCCTCCATCAGGCCAACTCTTCAAACTTTGTTGAAAAAATCCATCTGATTTTTGGGGGGTGGGTGGGGGGGAGCAGAAGAGTTCTCATTAACCCCTCGCGTTCCGCCAAGAGGCGGCTCCCCAAACTTTCCCTCCGACATCAAAATGACCTTTCGCCGGGGTTGGCGAAGTGGGGGGCGGGCGGCGGGGGGCCGGGGGGCGGGCGCAGGGGGCGCGGGGAGGGCAGGGCGCGGCGCGATAAAGTTTGGGGGGCGGGCGCGCGGGCCCCGGGAGCCGGCGGGCGGGCGGGCGCCGAGCGCCCCGAGGCCGGCCGGCTTTGTGTGCGGCGCGGAGGCTGGCGGCGCGGAGGCCGAGGCCGAGGCCCGGAGCTCGCGGGCCGCGCGGCGAGGCCGGCCCGGGGGCGGGCAGGGCGGCGGGGGCGGCGGCGGCCCCGCCGGGGGCGGCTCGGCGGCGGGCGCGGCGGCGCCGGCCGGTGCGGGCCGGGGGTGGGGGCGAGGGGCGGGCGCCCCCCCCGCGCGCCCCCAGCGCCCCCGCCCCCCCGGCCTGAGCGGGGCGGGCGGAGGAGGGAGCGGCGGCGGCGGCGACGGCGGCATTGTGCGCGCACCAGCAGCCCGGCCCGGGAGGAGCAGGACGCGCCGGGGCCGCCTCCTCCCGCGAGGACCCATGAACCAGCCGGGCGGCGCGGCGGCTCCGCAGGTACGACCGGGGGCCAGGGGCAGGCACCGCGCGGGGGCCGGGGGCCGGGCCCGGGGCGCTGCGCCACTTGCTTGCAAGGTTTGCAAAATGCAAAGTGCCTGGGCACGTTTGCGGGCTTTTTGTGGGCGCAAACGGGAGGGTCGGGGTCTGGGGAGCCCCCCCCGGGCGCCGCGGGGCGTGCGGAGGGTGAGGGTGACCAGGGGGTCTTTTTGGGCCCTCACCCAGCGCCCCCCTCCAGCCCCGGGCTCGGACCGGAGCCCAGAAAACAAAGCGGCGAGAGAACAGAGCAGCCATTTCAGTTTGGACAATTCACATTTTGCAAAAATGCAACCCCTTCCAGCTCTCCCCCCTCCCCCCCAAATTTGCAATTTCCCCCCTGACCCGCTCTGCGCTCGGGGCTCCTGACGACCCCCAGGGCGAGCTTTCCCCCTGGCCCCCCATCTTTGCAACAATCTTTTTTTTTTTTTAGGCCATATTTCCCTTTCTCAATTTTTTTTCTAATTTTTCTTCAAACGGTAGTTTTTTCCCATTAAAACGACGCCACCTAGAGGATACTATTTTGTAAATAAAAAAAATTAAAATTGAAAAGAAATATTTTTTATTTCTTATTTTTTCAAAAGTTTGCACTGGAAGGCTGTGGAGGAGAAAGAGATTCTTTTTTTTCTTTTTGGGGGTGAAAATTTTCACTTTGATCTTTTCAGGAGCATGGAGACAATTTTCATTTCTGAAGCCAAATCCAGATAATATGTAAATGAAAATTAAGCTGGAATTTGAATGAATTCAGTTTTTGAAGGGAAGAAAGCAAAAAGCCTTCTAAAACCAAAGTCACTTTGGCTGTCCAACTCATTTTAGTTTGAGAAAAAAACTAATTGGAATGAGGAAAGGAGGGAAATTGTTGAGTTGAGGGAAAACTGGGAGAATTGGCTTTATGAAGCAATTAGAAATTGTACTTCATTGTAATTTGGAACTTGTTTAGCTCAGCGGGCAAAAAAGACTAATTTCACCATTTGGCAATATTTAAAGTTTTTCTGTTCCCAAGAAGGAAGGATTTAAAAGAGAAAACAGACCTTAAAATATTGGCTTTGGACACACCCAAAAATTGTAGTTTTTTTTTTTTTTTTAATTTTGCATTTACATTTTACTGCATTTAAACCCCAAGGTTCTAAAGAAAAACAGAAACTGAAAAAGTTAGGGTGAAATCCTGTCTTTTTTCCTCTGCATTTGTTGGGATTTGTGTTATTTATTTATTTTTTTTGTTATGATGGAATAATTAAGACTGTTTTCTGATTTTGTTTCCTGAAAGGTCTAGGCATTTCTTTTTTGTTGTTGTTTTATCCAGAAAATGTCAGGAACCTTTTTTTTTGAGCAGTATTCTTTGGAGAAAAATGTAAATTCATTATGTTATACAAATTGAGTAGCCCACAGATTTGTAGGAGAGACCGCCATTAAAATAAGATATGCATAATTAACATTATTATGAAAAAACTAACAGTGGATTCACAGAAGCTCATTTTTTATGACATGCAACTGAATCAGTTAATAAAGACAAGGGTTGAAGAATCCTTGGTAGGAAGAAAATTTTCCTTCTCTGTGCTTGTTCATCTTCCAATTTGAAAAATTTATTATTTTAAAAAAAAACAGATTGATTTCAGGCCTCTTTGATTGTGATGTAGGCTTGCTAGTTTATTAACATTTGGTATTTTTCACAAATTTAATTACCTTCAAAGGGTAAAAAAAATCTATTAGCCTTGATCATGATTGGGGGGGTGTTCCTGTGATATAAAAAAAATGCTCAAATTTTACTGACTTAACAAGAAGGAAAGATAAAAAAGGAAGACAGAAAGGAGATAAAAATTCTGATTCTTAATCCATCTTCTGTAGTGGAACACTTACTTTGCTGAAGAAATGGGGTAAAATACCAGTTCAGCTGATTCTAGCATCAAAATTTAATTTTTTTATGGGCAAAAAAATCAAAATACAAACAAAAACCTAAACCAAAGGTGCTTGCTTTTGGAACGTGAAGACATATGGGCAGATAGTATTTGATGTAGTATTTTAGCTTTAAAATGAACCAAATGAAGGTGAAATAAAAAAATATTTTTTTCTAGCTTGAAGACAAATATTGACTGAATTGAAATTTAACCCTGAAAATAAGGTACCCACCCAAAGTGAAAGGTTGTTGTGATAAATTAGTATCTCATTGAACTTGGTGTGGATTTTGAAACCCCCCAAAAAAGTTAAAATTTTTCTATCCACAGGGAGGAGGAATATTGTTAGTGTTTGTGGGGTGGATGGTGGTGAGACCTTGGGTGGAAGACGATGGTATTCCATACAGGGCTGGTACAGGAAATCTGTGCCCTTTTGCCAGCCTCCATTGGGTCTTGGAAGAAGTGGTGGCCCCAACCCTTTCAGGGCAAATTCAAATTTCCAAGGGAATACAAATTCTGTGAAATATATTTAACAGGGGCAGAGGTTTGACATTTCCCATCATCACCATTGTATTTGGGAGATTTTATTTGTTTTTTTGAAATGAAATCCTTCAGGCCTGACAAGCCACGTTCTGGGATATTTGGAATGATTTTTTTATTAAAAAAATTACCATAATTAAAAAAATTTTTTTCTTTTGAATTATTTAGGCCAAGGTCTAGGACGGTCAAAGAATTTATAATTTCTGAGGTCTCTGGGCCTCATGAGACAGTAGGCCTGAGTTTAGTAAGTAGTGGAGGAGAGCTGTGACCTGCACTGGGGAAGGGTGGGTGGGCACCCCTATTGGGTGTCCTGCAAAAAAAAGGGAGTCAGGGTTGTGGATAACAGGTTATTTCTGGTGCAAGGAATAAAAATATTGCAGCACATCCCTTTGTGTGTCGTGGATCTCCTGACACACAATTCAGATTCCTTCATTCCATTCTGCTGAAATTTTGTTGTATTTTCTATGCTGTAAAGGAAACTCCTGGCTAGAAATCGAAAATCATTTCTGTTGTGTAGACCTTTTTTTTTTTTTTTAAATTGGATATTCTGATCAGGTTTGCTGTAAAGGAAATAGAGGTGCATGATGGTACTGTGGGGGCGGGGTCAGCCCTCTTTTGTTTCTCTTGGCATCTCTGGCTTGAGATCCCACCTTGGCCCTGGCTCCCGCACCTTCTAGTCCTACTTCTGTGACCGGAAATGGATATATGAGCTAATTTTTATTAGTCTATGTCGGTTCACCCTACCCTTTTAGAATATTGGGCGAAAAATCTGGTAAATTGGACTTGAGGAGTGGTTATTTGATGATGGGCTGAGTTATTTTGGTGAAAGATCATTTATACACAGTTTCACAGTGGAGACTCTTATTACTTAATGTTTTGCTTTTCTGCCTTAGGAGGTTTCTTTTTTTTTTTTTTTTCCTCTTCTAATAAGGTTTGAAATTTCAAGGGCCTGCTTTATAGCTTGACTTTGGACCAAGCTAGGAAAAAGAGTTTGCTTATACTTTTAGCCCCGAACAGAGGTGAACTTGAACAAGGGCTCTTGCTTTGCCGAAGGGAAGCAACAAAGATGGCTGGTCAGTGTAAGACTGACCTCTCCCTGGTTCCAGAAAAATAAATAGCCAGTGGTTTGTTTCATTTGAGAAACAGAGTTTGAAAACTCTTCCATTGTCAGATACAGCTTTTCCCCCAACCTTGGACTAGCTCTGGGCATGCCCCTTCCTCTGACCTCATGTCTTCGCTTTGGTGGGGTGATAAGAACTTCCGGGCGGCCTTTCACTAGATGTATAAACTGACTTTTCATGGTCAGGGTGAAATTTTGAGTTTTGTCCATGTTCTTGTTATGTTTCATGTCAGCTGTGTCCCTACCCGGGTGATGTAAATGGAGTGACTTTGTGGGTGCACAGGAGCCCTAACTCTCCCAAGGTCTTGCTATATGACCTTGGACAAATCACTTTCCTTTTGAGCCTCCCTTTTTATGTTTGTGAAATGAGAGCCTTGGGTCAGAGCCTGGATGATAATAATTGATTTGGTCTCTGATTCTGACTCAAGTGATTAGCTATGGCTGCCTTGATCACTGTGTTGAGAAGGATTCTGAAATGACATCCAGATTCCCATATTCTAGAGAGTGGGGTGCAATAGTCAAATAGTATCAACCACAGAGTGGGGGTTGCACCTCTTTGTTAAAATACCCAGACTAAGCTTTGGATTGTGACCTGTCTGGGGTTGTAAAATCAATTTGGTGGATCATAATCAACGTTAAAAAAAAAAGAATAGAATTCGGGGAACACAATATAGCAGAGATAGAGCATTGTAGTCAAGGTAAGTTCTCATGAACTTTTCGCTTTATTTATATTTGCCGATGTGTGTGCGTGACAAGGACTGGAATTTCCATTGTGAGGCATGGTTAAAAGAGTTTGCAGGGAACCCGACTGCATGGTCCATTGTGATGTGCCACAGGTACACTGCACTTGTCTGCCCAGACTGTTTTCTCATTTTTTTTTTAAGATTTATTTATTTATACATATAAGAACTGGGGAATAGGTCAGAGGTGGGGGTGGTGGTGAAAGGACTCACCAGAGACAGAGTGGGGAGCAGAACAGGCAGATTGACTGAAATATACTGCTGAGGGGAGCAGCGGGCAGGTGAGGAGAGGTCTGCTGCGCCATGTGGGCAGCTTCCTGTCTGGGGATTGAACTCGTGCTGCAGTGGCTTAATACAGCTTCATAGGTTGAGTCCTAACCTCTTGTGCCACCAGGGAGGCCCTCTGTTTTCTCATTTGTTAGCCTGGTTGATTTCTACTCCACTCCTGAGCGGTCGGTGTCCTATGCTACCCTCTGTGCCCCTGATGGAGCTCACCGTGAGCGCCCCTGTTTCAGCCCACCTGGTGGTCCAAGTGTGCAACATTGTCAGCCTTGGCAATGACTGGTAGGGTAGGTGCCCATTTGCAGGCAGCATCATTGCCACATTCTCTTGCTGAAAAGGTGATTTAAAGTGGTACGGAACCCCTGTCTTGAGGTTGGCGGGGAGCAGTCA